AAATATCTTTGATGTTGAATAACTTTTGATATACTGATCCGTTTTTGATGATCTTACCACCAAAATGTTCGTCTCACCGATACGAACATTTTGATAGTAAAATTATCAAAAACGTATTAGTATATTAAAAATTATTTAACATCAAAGATATTTTTAATTGTAATTTAAAAATTACTAATAAAATAACACAAAATCATAACGATCTCAGGATCCTGTGATTGGATTTTAATAATTTTGAGCTTGTTAGAATCCTCTTACTGAGACAAACATTTTGGCAGTAAAATCACCCAAAACGGACCAGTAGATCAAAAGTTATTGCCAATTTTACAAACTAGCTAATAAATTATTAAATTTTAATCAATCAAATGCTCGGAAAAATTATCAGATGGGGGGTAGGGGGTCGGCCACTTAGTGAAACCCTAATCACCTAATAAATGGCACTCCCCTAAACAATAATAATATTATTAATTATTTAGATTGCAGCGTGAAATTAGTTCGTTGAGAAGACAAGTGGTGGCATTGAGAGGGAATGAGATTTTTATAGCAAGAGAGATAGTTCAGTTGGTAGAGAAAGTAAAGGATAGAGATTTGCAAATTGAGAAGATTAATTGAGGGAATCAGCTGAGAAATAAAGATTATGCAGAGTTGGTAGTTGAGAGAAATAAGTTAAGAGCTGAGATGAAGAATTTATATATTTTAATTAACAATATTTCAGTTCTAGATATATAATAATTTTTTGTAAATAAATTTTAATTTTCTTATTATTTTATATTTAACTTTATTCAACTTGAATAGCAAGGTTGTCAATAGGGCTCATATTCCCAAAATATAAATTATAATATTCAAATCTAAATTTCAAGTATTGTTTCTTCTAATTGTCATGACTTGTAAAATTCCTCTTATTTCAGGTAAATTGTAGCCATGTTGTATTCTCTTTTTATTATTAATTCTTATAAGAAAGTATAGAAAATAAAAAGTAAAAAGTAAAAAGTAAAAAATAAAAAGTGAAAAGTGAATAGAGCTCTAACCATTGCTCTAAACTGTTCTAGATATCATATTATACTAGATCTATAAGAAAAGTTATAAATAGAATAATATATAATTTAATAAATAAAATGATAAATAATAACTATAACAATAAATAAGAAATAAATATAATAAGCAATAAATATTTTTAAATTAATTGTTCAAAATCTTCTATATCTAATTCACCAATTATTGATGTATTAATAAAACTTGATCTATACAACTATTGTAATCCAACTTTTTGATAAATCCTATAGATTTAAATAGCTTGTTTTCAAAGTTGAGCAGATTTAGATTCTTCAAAGTAGTAAGTTAATTGAGCTCATATATATCGAACAATATTTTTATCATTATTTTCTTTCAACTGTCCCAAATAATAAAGAGCTTCTAATCTTTGAATTCATTTAGACTTTTTTTTTCCAAAAGTATGAATTTTGACCATCATTTGATTCAAAATTTGAATATAATTAGAACCTTGATAAGGAGAATTCAATTGAACTTGATTCTCTATTTCATGTTCTAAATCATTTTTAATTTGTTCGATAAGATATTTATTTTTTTGTTGATTGATATTTTGTTGGTCAGTAATTAAATCTTTATTTAGATCCTCTTGAACATTTAGTTTTTCAGTAATAGGTTCAATTGGTTAAAAAATTATATCCTATTTAGTACTATTGACAAATTCATCAAATAATATAGAATAATCTGAAGGAATTATATTTGTTTGTTGAGTAATACTGTCAATTGAACTTGTAGTTTTGATTCTATTTTTATCAATGATAAAGATATTTTGATCAGATATTTTAATAGTATTGTATGAAATATTATTGCTTTTTCAAATTTGTAAAAATTATTTAAGAGCTTGTACTTCTTTAATTGGTAATTGGTTGAGAAGATTATTGATAGTTTGAGCTTTCATTGTTTGAGCAATTGTGATTTAAAAGTTTGGAATAGAATTTGTAAAATTTTAAAAATTTAGAAATTTAAGAGATTTGGGAGAATAGAGGGTAATTATATAGTATAAGATTGTACAATCTACTGTTTATTTATAACTAATTAATATTGTTCATTTGTGGTATTATAATTTGTGGAATAGGTAATTGAGAAAGATCTCTTTCAAAATATGATTTTAAACGATTGCTATATACAGGATCCTTTACTTTTCATCTATTTATTGCACGTAATTTGTAAGTACCAAGTGATAAGATATTATAGATTATATAT